CGAGAATTATGTTTAAGGGTGAGTACTAACTGGAAAAAAATATAAAAATAATTAGGCAGTTCCGAAAATATTACTTAAGATATATTTCTATGGCCTTTGATATTATCATCATCATTAATTCTACTACAGCCCATCACATGTTACAATAAAACTATGACCATAGTATGATTCTCTTCCAGACCATTGTATCCATGTTTTAATATTACCTGACCGAAATATTTCTTACTTTATTAAAATGTTCGGAACTTATGTATTTGTCTTCTTTGACGCCTTGGAATGGTGGCACATGAGAATTGACTAAACCATATCAAACCTTGGGTATCGTAAGACGTGACATAGAGAAAAGAAATAAGATGGACAGTAGAATCTCACTAGTAAAAAACTTGAGTGTGGCGACAATGTTAAATATTTAAATAATAATAAATATTTGACATAGGAATATGGCATACTGCCGTCTAGTAGAGGTCAAATGATATTGTGAGAATTTCGCTCAGTGGCCATCTTTTCCCCTAAAATTAACTTGAAACATAGCAGGAATGACATCACAGCGGAGTGACGAGGGTGTGAGTTGCAGATGGCGTGGGTGAACGTGAGGGGAAACGCATTTCGTGAGGGCCTGTTGATTTCTATACTTTAATACAAAAAAACCTGATTAATTAAATTTCAGCTATTAATATCTGGAAGGAAGAGCGCAGCTCAATGGATATAATGGTGGAAGGGCCGAGGGCGGCCCAAGTAGCAGACTTGCTCCATGATCGGTGCATACCATACGCTGTTGCTATCAGCGACGTCGGTGTCCTCCTTGATCGCGAACAGGGATGCACCAGATCAAGGAGGAGTGCTTGTGGACTAAGTATAATATCACAACTTAACTATGTACATCATCATTATCATCATCTTTGTAGCCCCTCACAAGTCTACTACTGAACATAGACCTCCCCCAAAAGAATGGTACAAAACTACCCGCATCCAATTTGCTACATGTCTTAGCAGATCACATCACATCACGTCAATCATATCTAGTATAGAATCGCTACACACTTCGATAACACGTACGAGGCTGTCATTCGAGAACCATTCTTTTCCATCTATATTTTCAGTTCTTCGAGGTATGTGACCGGTCAATTGCACTTCTGATTACTACTCCGTCATATAGTCAGTTCTACTGCAGATATCTTTATTATGTAGTTTATCACGCAGAGTATTTCTTAACATAGCTCTCGCCATAGATTATAGAGCAACTTTCAGTCTCCGTATACGACCAGTAGTCAATACAAGGTTCATTATCGCATCAGTCCACTACTAAATAAACAAATAATATAATAATAGTAAATTTTACTAGAGATAGTTAAAGTAGTGATTTTGAAAATCAACTTTTTTAGTTTCAAATAAGACCATAAAAACAATGTATTAGACACCTTGGGCGCTCGGCGTTGCGTTAGTCGGGCGTTGATAGCGTACATAGACCGCGCTCAGTACGGCGTTTGTCGAGCGTTCGCAGGGGACCCTAATATCTGATCGCTTTTAGATTTCATTGATAAATAAATCCGTATCAAAATGTTTGATTTACATTTTTGTTAACATGCATCCACTCTACTTAAATGTACAAGAAAATGTTGGCCCATAACGCTCGCTTAACGAGCGTTCTAATCAAAATCTGACAGCGCGCGTCTGACGTGTTTTAAAACGCGCGTTACCAAAACGCGCGCTTCAAAACGCGTAATGTGTACTCACTCTTACTTTAGGGTAATACTAATTATAAACAAGCTGAAAGCAATTGTCGTAACATCCTAATTGACAAAACTGCTCAGGATTGACCAATTTAATTTTCTAGTGTAAATTGCACCTTTGAAGATCAGTTGACGCTAATAGCTGATTCATATTTAGTCACACAAATAGTCAAGTAATTAGCTAAATTTAGCTCAATAATAATTGCGTGACTTAAAGCATGTAAATAATTAATTTATTAATGTCGCAAGTAAAAATTTAGCATAGAAGTAAATGAAAAGAATAATGTTTTTTTTTGGTTTACACATTTGGACGGTTTAATATGTTTGACGAAGCGTCATGTTCGGAGATCATCTGTTTAAATGTTTTTCATATGTTAAAGTGGGCGATACACTACGATACTACAGTAAAATTTGTTGAAGAATGCTTAAAGGAAAAAATATTTATCTAGTAGCGTGGAAAAATTGCACAATTGGTGTTCTGCATATCAGGCAATTTTAAATCAAAATTACTTTTGTTTGGCTAAGAATTCTAAATTCAAATCAATTTTGTATTAAAAACACGGAATTTTTGTTTTGATTAGCGTTATGTTTTTGTTGCATTTAAATCTATTTTGTCATCATGGATACGTTAAAAATTTGAGTATTTATGGAATACGAGTACCGTCGTGGCAGCAACGTAGCACAAGCGGCATGCAGCATCAACGACGTTTACGGAGCGAATACTACAAACGAACGCACCATCTGTAATTGGTGTGCCCGCTTCCGCTCTACAATATTTCGACCTGAAAAATCCCGTGAGCCCCGTGATCGTCTGAAAACTTTGATCGTCAATGACGAATTAAAGACGTTTATGAAAGCTTACTCAATCTACGGCTGAATTAGCAGCAGCTTTCGACATAAGGATAAAAGCAATATTGAATAAAACTATTATTTACAGATTTTATCGCGTTTAATTCAACTTTAATTTATTTTTAGTATCCCGACATTTCGGGTGCTTTACAGCACCCGTGGTCACGGAAGGGACTGAGATGTTTGACGTCCCAATGTCATAGTTAGTCCGGCTACCTTCAATTTTTGAATATTAATTTTTTATCCGATTCATTTTGCGTAAATCAAACGTCTCAGCCCCCCCCCCCGGGACCACGGGTGCTGTAAAGCACCCGAAACGTCGGGATAATAAAAATAAATTAAAGTTGAATTAAACGCGATAAAATCCGTAAATAATAGTTTTATTCAATGTATAGTGTTCGCGTAAATTTAAGAAATCATTAAAGCAATATTGGTCCGTTTGCGTCAAATTAGCAAGGTAGTTCGCGAAGTACCCGTCTAGACGTGTCTTTCACTGCTCAAATACATACATACGAAGGAATTTTTACTGCATTGTTACCTGCGACGAAAAATGGATTCTGTTTGACAATTGCAAGAAGTTGATTGGATCTTGGTTTAGCATTAAACAATACCCTAAGCGAAAACTTACCCCCAGAAAAGTGATTTTCACTTTTTTGGTGGTCTAGCGCCGGTGTGATTCATCACAGCTTCTTATCAAATAGGCTGGCATACAGGTGTGATACTGTGAGTAACTGAACGCAATGATGGAGAAGTTCGCACGTCTCCAACCAGCTTTGGTCAATCGCTCGACCCCGCTGCTCCTGCACGACAACGTGCGACCTCATACTGCACAACAGACCGCCTCCAAGTTACAAGAACTGGAGTTGGAAGCCGTTCGTCATCCGCCCTACCCACCAGACCTTGCGCCCGCAGACAAGTTCAATACCCGAGAGACAGTACAAGATGCCCTTGAAGAATTCGTTGTCTCGTCTCTCTCGTCCAGCTGATATCTTCAAGAAAGGTATCAAGAAATTATCACTGCGCTGGCAAAGATCAAGAGATCATCGTTTTTTATGGATGATTATTTTGATAAATAATAATAAAAAACATAAAAAATTATGTTAACTTGTTTCATAAAAAAATGGCAATTTCATAGGCAAAGACTTAATACATATAATTTAAATTTTCAAAATTCTGTAATTTGCACGTTACAGTAATATCTCTAATCTTTATTTTATGTCTCACTTTCGACAAGAAGTATTTAAAGAATTCATTTCCTTGGAATAAAATTATTTTTACCAAACGTCGGGAATTAAAAATAAGTAAATTAAACACAATAAAATCCGTAAAATAGTTTTATTCCACGTGTAATGTCTCGTTTTTACTTAAAATTTGAGTCGCTTAAAAATATATTTTTAGTTAATTACTTGACTACATACCACGTGTGTATCAGCCTTAAAACAAATATTAAAGTTTTTATTATGTAAGAGAAATTAAAACATAAAGACAGTTAAAGAAAATAAAAATTAACATACGATTAATAACATTGAAATTATTAAAATTGTTGATGAATCAATAGTTTTTCTTTGATTTATTATTGAATTAAAATCCTAAGTTCAAACCTTGAAAGCAGCGGAATTACATTTTTGGTTTTTAAATAAACGCGTACGTAGCCACAGGTAAAATCTAGTACAGAATCAATTATAAGCAATATTGGTGAAACAATCGCCACAATTTCAGTATAGATGACAGCTCCGTGTCTCAGTGGCATAACAATGAGTTGCGGTAATGTGGGCTGCGGGCTCTAATCCTGTTCCGAACAAGTATTTGTATGACCTACAAATAATTGTTTCGCGTCTGGATGCTTGTTATTGTGAAATTTATGTAGATATGTAAACTGCCTCTACGATATAGTAGAAAATCCTAGCGTAGTGGGTAATATTTTTTTAATGAAATAATAAATATAAATAGACTCACTTATTACCAACTCTAGCAAATGTTGATGGACAATTATTTCTCAAAATATTGCTCGTGTATCCACACCTTTATGTACGTCTTCCTAATACATTGTTTGTTTCAGGATTAAATTATTAAAACCATCACTTAGACACAACGCTGTTTTATTAATTACGCCAATTACATACTTTCTTGAAGTAGTTATCTAATAACCATCCCCTATTTGGAGTTTTACGACTTTTAAGGACTTTTATAGAATGATATTTACAAATGGTCTTTATCAAATTAGACTTTACATTATTTTATAAAAACTTCATTAAAAATAATTAACTGAATTTTTTAATTGCCTTCTTTGAATTTTACACTTTAAATATGAATATGATCATTAGTTGACTTAAAACTATTTTATATAAAGATAGTACAAGCAATAACTATGTTCAATTTTGAATTCACTCTCATACTGCACGTTTTGCTAAAGGACGGTGCATGGACTGGAAGAACTATCATCGCTTAAATGTCATTTATGACTTCATGGATAATCTGGCACGAGAGTGCCCATCTTTGTGTACAGTATGTACAATTGGGCGGACAGTTGAAGGTCGCGATATCAGGGTAAGGATTTTTTGCAACTTAACTTTTATCTTATTTCATATTTACGGTCTTCTTTAAGCTTCATATAGAACTGTTACCGTCTTACTGTATTATACGAAGACTTGGCAAACTTAATGCATAACTATAACCTTAAACTTCACATTAATAAACCGACTGGTCAAAACACATGCATTGATCATATAGCTAGTAACATAGGACGTCCCTATGGTTCCTTAAATGAGTTTAACATGTCAGACCATAATACAAGTCAATTACTAAGCTATGTTGTTTTGTGTGATGGTGAAAAATCTATGCAGATACGGTGAAACAAAATTTAACATCATATTTATTTGGACCATCATTATCAGTATGTTGTAGTTAATTGGCTGTAGGCTCATCAAAACGCCTTTCAGAGTCGTGAGTTTGGGCAAAACTTCAAATGAATACTTGCTAGCTGACGTATTCTTTAAAGAGTTAACGTTCAGCTGTAAATTTTATAAAGCTGTTGATAATTTTTGCTTTAAAGACTGTTTTTTTCGTAAAGTGGTCGTAAGTGCCACTGCTGTTCATGTGGTTACCGGTTCGAATCCCCGATCAGGCCAAAAAAAAGTTAATGGTTTTTTCAATTAGGAAATTCTCATTAGCAGCCCGGAGTCAGAAATGTAGTGTTTCACCCCAGCACGTAAAGCGGTTGGTCTTGCGCCTGATCTATTTTCATTTCTGTCGGATTATTTTAAACAACACTCAAGTTTGTTTATTTTCGTTTTATCTTCTCAACGCCATTATTTATTTTATTGTTCATTAACTTTTCAATAATTTAAGTACTTGTGTTAACGATATCTTATCACAGAACGCACACTTAGAAATCACAATTGAATATTTTAACTAGCCCTGTGTTTTTATTAGCTCTTGAAAATATCAAACGGTCGCTGCAACAATGCGGGTGTGTGGTTGGACGGCGCGACCCACCCCCGCGAGTGGATCAGTACAGCCGTAGTTACTTATGTGGCCGACCAGCTTGTCAGGAACTTCGATCAGCACCCAGAGTTCATAACAAATAAAGATTGGTAAGGATTATGAAACAGGAAACATCTTTAAATGTTCTGAGATTTTATAAATATTTTTTGTTATATAATTTATTATGTCTGAAATGCGAGCGAGATGCTAAAATATTACTATTTAAAACCTATTGCCAATCGCTTTACACGCCGCATCTCTGGACTAAATTTAAAAAGGGAAAACTGTCGAATTTTTAAGGTTCAGTATAATGATTCGTTCCAAATATTATTTCGTTTTCCGAGGTACTGTAGTGCATCTACAATGTTCGCTGAGGCACGCGTACCGACGCTAGATGCTTTGATAAGACATCGTGTGGCTAGATTTAGAAGTAATTTTCTCAAATCTGCAAAAGCGATTATACAAATTTTAACGCAAAACTGTATTGAAATATTTAAATATTGATCTAATATGTTAATTTGTAAGTTTTAATTTATTTGATGGCATTTATTTTATTAATATTTATTTTCGTATTTCAGTATTATTTTAATTTTTTTTATTATTGTGGCCTTTATTGTCTTTCAATAAATGATTAATATTATTATTATTATTATATCTTTAGTAAAAATTTAAAGTGACAAAAAAACACACAGCACACCTGTTGGCAAGTGAATGCCTCGTTACCAGTAAAACGGATCTCCGAATCTCGTCACTCAGCAAAGAAAAACACAGCGGCGTTATGCTGCTATTTTACGTTGGTATTCTGTGAGAATATGTTATTTAAAGCAAATGTGCACCTTTTGTTATTTCAGTTTATCTTAAACCGCTATTACTTTATAAATTTGTCTTCATAGAAATATGACGTCAATATTTCATAAAATATTCTGTAATAGCTGTCAGTAAAACATACATATTACACTGTAAAATCATAGAATCTTCATATTCACTCGAGCTGGACAATGATATAGTTGTTCGGCCGCTCTAGCCTCGGTTATAATTATTGCTTTAGATTAAAAAGAAAATAAAAGTTTCTAAGAAAAGTAGTAAAAAAGAGGCCGTATTTGGGTCAGACTTTGGGTAGGGCGGCGCTCAGTAAACGGGTTTCACAATACTTCACAGTAACAATTGTAAGTGAGAATACAAATCCTTATAAAACGTATCTTCGAATGAAAAAAGGCGAATTCAATTATATTCAAACAAAATTGATTCCATATATTTCAAAGCATAGAGATTAATCAACACAAATCAATCAAATTTTGTCAATTGAATATTCCACTGGGACGTCTTGCTTTTTGACACTATTTTTTAATATTTTACAGCCTCCGTTGTGATGTTATATAGTATGTGCGTTTTCGTCAGCATGTAGTCATTTTTTTAATAGGATAAGGGTGACTAACGAGCACACAGCCCACCTGATGGTAAGTGGTAATTGTGGCCCATAGACATGTACATCTATCTAATTTATCTATTCTCGATTATGAATCAAAATGCAGAATGCATTGTCACCCGTGAGAACTACGATGGAATGACTCTTTTCCAGTAAAAAAGGTTTCCAGTTCTCTACACCTTACGAAGCACAGCAGCATTAAGTTGCTATTTTACGTTGATATTCTGTGAGAGCGTGGTCCTATCCTGTTCGAGCCGACCCATTTGTGCTAAAATATTATTGCTGCAGCGCTCTAGCACGTTAAATATTTTAAAGCCCTTGTAAAGTGCTTTGTAAATTTTACACTAATGATCATAGACATTATGAGTCAAATGCATAAACTAAACTAATTTATATATGAATCATATTTACCTTTAGTCATTTGCATTTATAAATTTAATAGCGGCTTTATATAGAAAATATAAAATGGCAAAAACGATTTTTTTGCGTTGTGAACAAAATTTTGTAAAACAAAATAAATATTTTAACATATGCACTGTATGATAATACCAAATCTTCTTACTTAAAATTTTCTTTATAGGTACATATTGCCAGTGGTAAACCCAGATGGATACGAATATACACATACTCATGACCGTATGTGGCGAAAAAATCGAGCGCGTTACGGTGATTGTTGTGGTGTAGACCTGAACAGAAACTTTAGGTAAAACGCAATTAACTTTCTTTTTTTTCAGAAAGTTCATATTGTTAGTTATACCGATCGGTGTGGCTTCCAAGCGTGATGGATAAAGGCGAATAATTTGAGATGGCTCCACTTGTGGATTAAAGCTCTAATGAAAAAAGGTTTACTATTTCTTATAAACTAGTGACCAGCCCCGTCTTCACCGGGATAGGATCTATTATATTGATGTTATTTAGAGATGTGATAATCAAAGACTATTTATTTTACAAATTTTTTGCTATTTATAAAAATAAAACAAGTTTTTTGGATAATATATATATAATCTAGATTGCTCTAGATTGCATTGCTCTATCTGTCAGTAAAGTTTCATCACATTCACAATCGGTTCAGCCGATCCGATGAATAGCCTGGACGGATAGACGGACAAACGAAACGTTTTAAATTTTTGATGGTTTATGTTTTTTTATAGAATAAGGGTGACAAACGAGCACACATTCCACCTGATGGTAAGTGGATGCTGTAGCCCATAGACATCTACATTTATCCTCGATTAAGAATCAAATCGTAAATGCGATGTCACCCCTGAGGACTACGATGGAATTCCTTGTTTGCAGTAAAAAAGTGTCTCCGGATCTCTACACTCACCATACGAAACACAGCTGCTGGCACCTTATGTTCCGCTGCCTTATCCCGAATTTCCCTACTTTCAACTCACCGTTCTCTCTTACGCTTAGTTTTGCGTTGAAGTCTCCCATTAACACCGTATAGTGAGTTTTGAAGGAATGCATTAATCCAGGAATATCTCCATACATTTCCTCCACCTACTCATCGGGATGTGGCAAGGATGGTGCGTAAACCTGTATGACCCTCAGCGAATACCTTTTGTTGATTCTGAGTATAAGGTACACAACCCTCGTCGACACATTTCCAATCTTTACAACGTGAGTAACAAAAGACTTGTGGACGATAAATTTGACACCTCCTTGGGACAGATAGTCCCCTTTCCGATGATAGAACATGTTGCCGGATTTGAGGATTACCGTGCCCTCCCCCTATCTTCGGACCTCGGATAATCTTATAATATCCTAGTGCTACTTGTCTATCCCTTCTTCCAGCTCCAGGATCTTCTCGTCAGTCCTCAGGGTGCGTGCGTTATATGTAGCCAGGTCGAGTCACCTTAGGTGGCAACCGAACTCGCACCGGAGATTCTTAGCACCCCCTGCCCCGCCGTTACCACGATCGCCACGGTAGCCAGGAATAGCGGGGCCGCCGGGGACTGGGGGCCGTTTATTTGTGTCGTTGCTCATGGGGAATGTTTGCCATAGTTATATAGCGAGTGGATTGGCAACCGCAGTTTTTTATTGTTATGCTGTTATCATAAATGTGCTGTTACCCATCTTCTGCCTCAGTTTCCCTCTGTCACCTCTTACGAAATCCACGGGAAGATATGGGATATACATAAGACATAAAATACTATAATTTTTACAGTTACGGATGGGGTGAACGAGGTGAAGAGGGGTCTTCAGAAGATCCAGGAAATATTTTCTATAGAGGTCCAGAACCATTTTCGGAACCAGAAACTTGTGCTATTAGGGTTAGTAAGATATTTAATTTTTCATTTTTACAAATAAAAATAAATTTTTAAAAATTTAAAATACAGCCAAATGCCAATTTTTATTTATTTTGGTATAACACGTCCCACAGCTGGGCACAGAAATCCTCTCATTTTTGAGAGGGCAATGATGTAGCATACGGTATTCTGCGTTATTCAATTGCAATAAATTCATCATCAGTATGTGGTAAAGCAGCACTTAAAATTGTAATCAAGAATTTAATTGATGTCGATCGATTGAGGGGATCGAACGCGGGTGGTTGGCGAACTGTGAAATTCACGGCTAGTGGTAAACCGCCAAGCAGCTCAATATAAATGCTTAAGCTAAGCCGTTATTGCTCGTTTTAAGTTATTTAATAAGTAAATTTTTAGATAAACGTTTTACGGCACGTTTAGATTATCGGCACGAGTAACTCGCTGAGTTAGTCGTGGGCGAGCACGGCGCGTTTACAAACATGAATGACGCGCGTCTCTTTGCCACGACTTTACTTTTTTTTTTTGATATTTATAGATGCACAAGTATTTATTCGGGGGGTGTTGAGTGCCCCCGCCCCCACTTACTATATGGTGTGACAACCTGGTAAGACATGCAGGATGTCGATGGATACGGATGGCTTTTCAGTGAACTAATAACAAAAATACTTTTTTTATTATGGATTCAGAACGTGAATACGTTTGATTATAATTACAGGTAGCAATGGCTCCGACATTTCGAGTGATGAAGAATAGTGTTTATTTTTCTTTCGTTTATGTTTACCCATCTACTTTATCATATATCTTTATCATTTAAATCTTTCTATCTAACTTGTATTTATTACTTACATATTCGTATTTTATTACAATAACCGTAAGAATAAAATAGTATTATTTTTATTTGTAGAATAAAAAAACATTTATTTAACACACACTGTAAAAATAATTATATAAAAGCAAAAAATTTAAATCATAAGTGCGCCTCCGGATGTCCGGATGTAGTGGAGAATAGACGAATACTAGGGCCGAGTAGCGACAACACCCGAAGAAGGCGTTTACGTGCTCGTACTCGTCTGTGCTCGACGAGTATCTAAATTCTAAAAGTTACATCAATGTTAAATATAAACGTTACAAAATTGTCTTCTCATTGTAATTAAAGTATTTATAATTTTTTTATACAGAACGCTATTTGCGAGAGTGACACTAAGTTCAAGGTGTTCCTGTCATTCCATAGCTATGGTGAGGTGATAATTTTCCCATGGGGTTACACTAGTGATCCTTGTCCGGACTACGTTCAGATGCTGGAGGCTGGCACAGCTATGGCTAAGGTAATTCTTGTTTTAAAAACTTGATATAATTGTTTGCTACGTATTAACGGTCCTAAAAGTGGCCCCGCCCCCCTTTTTTGGGGGTTGGTTTTTTTTTTTTTTTTTTTTTATGTCGGGGGGTTTCGCTTTTTGCACCACGTTAGTTACTTGTAATCATTTATTATCGCTTACATTATGCAAGTTTCCTCACGATTTCCTTCACCACCGAGCACCTGGTTAACCTGCTCTTATTTAATATTGCTATCCACAATTGTATTGGTACCGAAGGAAATCGAATTCAGTTTGCTCGCGTTGTGTGAAATTCGCGTTCTGTGCAATTTTTTTTTGAGCAGTAAATTAGTCATTATTCTTAAAAAAATGAATTTTATTTTACTTACAGGCCATACAAAAAGCCAGCGGCCATACTTATAAGGTGGGCAGCACAAAGGACCTCATGTATTATGCATCTGGAACAAGTACTGATTGGAGCTACGCTGTCGCTAACATTCCCTACTCGTATATGGTGGAATTAAGAGGCAAAAGACATCGTTTTCTTCTTCCAAAGGAGGAAATTGTTTGCACAGCTGTGGAAGTTTTATGCGGCGTAATGAAGTTGATGGAATATGTTGACAAACGCTGCAAAAAACCATGTCCACCACGACCATGTCCACAACCATGTTCGCAACCATGTCCACAACCATGTGATAATGATCCACCATGTCGACTCTCAAGATCCCAGTCCTGTAGAAGTTCAAAGTCCTGCAAAAGCTCTGGATCTTGCCGAAGCGCTCGATCCCATTCTTGTCGCAGCTCCCAATCGCAGTGCTGCGAAAGCTCAGACTCACAGTGCCAATTCCCATCAAAATCCTGCAACTTCACTTAGTGAACATATATTTCATATATATAAAAGCCAATAACTATTTAAAAATATTTTAACTTGTTTGTTTTTAATACACCTTTAATTGGTTTAAATAAAAACAGAAAATAAAATATACATTTATGAAAATAAATTGATAAATAAAATAAACAGTTTTGGTTTTCATGTAGTTAATCACAAATTTTGCAGGGGATTTTAATATTATGGAAGCAATCCAAAATTTTGTCTTTTACAACCTGCTTTTACATTATGTTCAACACTGGCTTATTGATTCGAGACAATCGTTGCCAAGTTTTAATTTATATTATCGTTTTTCATTTAAGGAATTTAAATAAGTACGGAAAATGTAAATGAACTACGTAATGGAAGTATTCATTAAAATACAAATAAAAAATTTCAGTAACTTTATTTACAGACTTTTGCATTATTTCATAATACAGTCAACAATTACTTAATTACAATTTGAAGTTCACATTTATTTATCTAACGTAAAAACATCTATCGACAGAGATCACTATTGCATGGAATTCGTATTCCTTTCTGTTACCTATATGCGATACTATATTGTTCATCCAAACGTCCTTAGCACACCGGACGGTAAAGCCGCACAAAAAGACGTGTATAACTTCCTGTAATTAATATGGACGCCAAACATCTATGGGTCGCCTTTCTTGTGTTATCAAGGACTTGCTTCGAGTTCTAACGCCCTGGTCAGACCATTCGGGAGATGCCGGTCTTTTCTTTGCAATGCCCGACAATGTTGACGCACCTTCATCTTCTCGATCAGGACTAGAGTTGGAATCTTCTTGTGGGAGTGGAGGTCTTAGCCACCAATCATATCCTCCATAGAGTTGAGAATAAAGCCATGCAGGAGGAGTTGGAAGGAGGGGGGAGTTTAGGAACAGTTGTGCTGCTAAGGCGCTATGGAAAAGACTTGATGGTGCTGGTAGCGGCTGTAATGGTTTACGTGATCTAGTCACCGACGTAAAAGCTCCAGGGCGATCGTCAGGAGGTGGGCTGCTGGATGCTGTGACAGAGATGTCGTCATCTTGTGGCGAACTGGGGCGCGAATTGACAGGACTTGTTGTACTATGTGCATTCATTGTCGTTGGATTCTCCGACGCAACATCTGTATTAAAAAAGATTTTATCTTAACAAAGGTTTAGTTTTAAGTAAGTCATAGTATCTGGTTACTATGCAGTTGGTCTTTGCTTCGAATGTTAAGTGGAGCTCTTTTGTATATTAATATATAGTTCGATAGTTTTTCAATGGACTAATCGAAGGTCTAGCGAGAATCTCTTTTATAAATTATAAGCAGGTACTTGATTATCATCACCGTCTTCCATCTTTCACCACTTATTTATATAATAATAGATTTTAATACAGTCTTGGATGATAAAATTCATTATCTTAATAAAAGCCTCTTAATGGAATACATATGTATGATAGATGGCAATTGGACAAAACACTGTGGTGAAGCCCTAGGACACGAACCACTGTGAGCTTGATCCAAAGACTATGATAACGCTGGAATACCTCTAGAGATCACCAGATTCAGATCTCGCCCAGTCACTATTAGGTACGATGGGATTTTTTAATTGGCGGAGCAATCTCTTGTAAAGAATTTATTAAGCTACTGGTACCTATTATCTCTGTGGTCGGTCATCTTCCATATATGAGCGCTAACGCCTACCCCCGTAGATATGTATTCCGAACAACACTTATTCGAAAGGTGACACCGTGGTTGTAGTCAGTCTAGTAATAAAATATATTTGAGCCAATTTTTACCCATGCCATCGAATAATTTAAAATTATAATGACACAGTAACGTCAGGTTTGAGTAATGGTGGGACCCAACTAAGTTAATAAGTAAAATTTGTACTTGCTAAGTCTATTGTGTTGGCGATCTGCCTGCTAATTGCGACAAATATAGTACATTCCCTAATTTGAGTGATGGTTAGTTAATTTTATTTGAATTGAGCCTACGTTAAAACGTGGTAGTTTATTAATCTAACAATGAAAAACTACTGTAGTGTGTTTTTTATAGGATTAGGGTGACAAATACAGTCAAACTGATGGTAAGTAGTTGTTGTGACCCAAAATCATATGTGACATCTATCTTCATATAAGAATTTAAACAACCACTGAGTTCTAAGAAGGATTATCTCGTTTCCAGTAAAATGGTTCACCAGTTCTCTACACTCACCATACGAAATACAGCTGCAACATGCTGCTATTTTACGCTATTCTGTGAGATCGTGATCCTGCCTCGGTTGAGCCAACCCATTCGTGCTACAACCATAATATTACTGCAATATTGTTCTACCACATTAAGTATGTGAGTTGCGAAAGTAATATGGGAACCAATAACCTTTTCTGCCGCTGTATTTAAATGTCATTTCATCATCATGATCGTAGCGTTGTTAGCCTTTTTATTTATCGGTTCGTAAAATGCATAACTGGATATGGGCCCCGACGTAAGGAGGAATTGCAACAATAACCATGCTTGGCTGGCAAAATAACGATCATACACACGTCTCACACCTGTCACCAGTTTGATATAAACGTGATACTTATACCGCAATCCACAAAATTTTACACAATGGGAATAGTCGCCTCTTCGACACTCTCGTGACGGATGAGGGAAGCATTCGTAATTCCCCACATCAACATCATTTACATGGATAGACCCAGCTGATCCTAATAAAATAAAATAAAAGCAATTTATAAAATAACAAGCTCGTTACCTGTTTCGTGAGGCGGTGGAGGAACATGTGGATGCTGTGCGTGTGCAGGTGGCAGAACGTGTGGTGTGAAATGTGCATGTGTGGGTAATATTGGGGGAGGGTAATGCCGAGCTAACGCTCCCCATTCACCACCAGGCAACCCAGCTAGCTGATGGGCAATTCCTGGAACAAATATTATTTTATTAATCAAATTTATATATTAATAAAAAAAAGATAAAAAAACTCAATATTTAATTGAAATCATTCAGTTGTTCGTCATTTATTACAGCGTTTTATAAATTCTCTGCTTTACAGAGGCCTCCGTCAAAGTCATACCCCAACTTAGAACGCAAATTTCATAAAAACCCCATATTAAAATCACAATATGAACACTAGTTACCAGTCACGAAATGTGTTTTATTAGAAATTTTATTAATCTTTCGCCTTTTTGAAGTGAAATCGCCATGAACAAATGCGGGTTTTTTATGAAATTTCGTTCTAGTTGCCTCCTAGTTGGGGGGTTACCATGATTGCCACGCCTGGCAGAGATGTTCACATTCGCAGTTTTTTATTTATTACTAAGGACACACACGGAACGATATGGGGTAGTGGATTCTCTTACACCACCATTGCACGGCTCATATATTGTATAATAATTTTTATGACGTCCCAAATTATTAAATAATTATTCTGCTATCGGTCAGAGACCAAGAGATTTTGCTATAGTTCTGCGATTTAGAAAAATCTCATGGCCTTCCTACCCGGTAGAGCCAGGCTAATGCTTTATAATGGCTGTAGCACAAATAATTCGACCAGAAAAGAATAGAATATCAACATAGTGCAGTACGACATAAAGCAGAATATCAATATAAATGAGTACAACATAAATAAGAATATTAACATAAAATAATGGCTTCAGCACAAATAATTCGGCCAGAAAAGAATAGAATATCAACATAGTGCAGTACGACATAAAGCAGAATATCAATATAAATTAGTACAACATAAATAAGAATATTAACATAAAATAATGGCTGCAGCACAAATAATTCGACCAGAAAAGAATAGAATGTCAACATATATCCTCGCTCTCGGATGTCGTATGATATTGACGTGTTTTCTGTATTGTAAATTCATATTTTATTAAAAGTTTGTGAAATATTATTTACACAAGGAAAATAGAAGTGCATAAACTTGAAGAGGTCACTTGTTAGACAAGATTACTTTTGGTACGTAAGAAGGTGAATAATGCAATATTTATAAGCGCAAGGGCAAAGGAGATAGATAGAAACCTATTGTTGCCGCGCCACAACAAAACCGATGAAGAAATACGTCAACTTTGGCTCCGCCCACTACTAGGTGAGAGTAACAACATTATTTATTATTAATGCAAAAAAGTGCACGAGTAAGCGGTGACATTCGAATCGCTTAGTGTATAATACTAGGAGCGCTGAAGATTAAGGAAGCGAAACGCTGTGTGTGAGAGAGTAAGCTGACGACAGTATAAGAAGTGTGGAGATATTTTACTGTGTTTAGACGTTTAAAGTTAATTGATAGCCAATACTATCGTGCGACTGACTGACTGTCATTACACGTATATTTGTTAGGACTATCCATTGGATATATATAAATACACCTATACAGTAACACTGCAGTGCCGTCCGCTATTCATTTAGGCCTATAACTTTACTTTCTGTATAATGTCACTTCAAAGGACTCCTCCTAGCATGCTTCCATGCATCGCAACAGAAAATTCTCCTACGCGTTATCTATCTGACTCTGCGCTTAACACGACTAGCATTGAAAAAGATGAAGGGCAGCTCTCAAATGTTAACTATAATCGACGAATTAAAAGAAAATTTGATGATAATTTATCGGATAACTTTGTGATGCAAGAGATGAAACAAATGATTGCCGACATGCAGGTGCAACAAGACTACAAATTTCAGACATTTAGTGATACACTGAAAAAAATCGGAGAACAGAACTACGCAATTCAGCAATCTATTGAATTTCTATCGGCTAAATATGATAATGTTCTAAAAAAAATGGAAAGTCTACATAAGGAGAATGAAGGATGTAAGTCTCGAATAACACTTCTCGAAAACAAGATAGAACTTATGGAACGCTCTGCTCTTGCCTCCACCATTGAAATTAGAAATGTACCTAAGATGCGACTCGAAAATAAACAGGCTCTTTGTGAATTATTGAAATATGTTGGCTTAAGCCTTAATCAGCCAATCGAGGACAACGATATCTGTGACATTTACCGTATAAAAT